ATACATACATATATATATATATATATATATATATATATATATAATTTAATAAAATAATGATAGGTACTTCCTCTTCTACCTGGTAAGAACTGTCTACTAAGGGAATTGTCCTCTTGCCACTAACAATGAGAAAATCAGAATGTCTGAAACAACGGTTTTCAGACATTGGATGATAGTGGGGACTGTGGATTCTGAGAAGCAGTTTCCAAGCAATGGTATAGGGAGGGAGATTGTCAACGAGCTTAGCAGTGTTATTGACTTGAGGAGGTAGAGAGGGGTTGAGGGAGGCTGGTGCAGCCAGAATTTGCAGGTCAGAATCCAAGAGAGGAAGGAGTTGCTCAGTAAGCTCCAGAATCTTTGGCTACAAACTCTGAATATGTGTGCGTTGGAAAAACAACCACCAGAAAACAGTGGGCCAAACCATTTCTGGTATATACAAGGGGCTGAGGATAATTCACACTCCTATCAGCCATAGTGGAGAGGCCTCAAAACTAACAGGGCATTGGGTAGAGTTCTCAACAGTTTAAAAGCAAAAAGGATTAACTTGTTCTGCAAGTAATTTAATGCCATACAAGAACAAAGTTCAATAATCTTTAAAGGAATTCAACAAAATCCAGCATTCAGCAATGCAAAAATTCACCAAGTTTGACATCAGTTCAAAATTATCAGACAGGCCAAGCATGATGGCTTATGCCTACAATTCCAGCACTTTGGGAGGCCAAGGCAAGTGGATTGTTTGAGCCCAGGAGTTCATGAAAAGGCTGGGCAACATGGCGAAACCCTGTCTCTACAAAAAAATTTTGAAAAATTAGCTGGGTGTGGTGGTGCACACCTGTGGTCCCAGCCACTCAGTAGGCTGCGGTGGGAGGAGTGCTTGAGCCTAGAAGGTCGAGGCTGTGGTAAGCTGTGATTGCACCATTGCACTCCAGCCTGGGCAATAGATTGAGACCCTGTCTCAAAAACAAAACAAAACAAAATTACCAGACATTACATGAAGCAGGAAAATACAGCCCATAATCAGGAGAAAAATTAATCAATCAAGAAACACAGACCCAGAAATAACAGATGGTGGAATTAACTAACAGGGACCTTGAAATAGTTATTTTAAATCATATAAATATGCTTAAGTATGTAAAGAAAGCATGAATATGATTAGGAGATTAGTGGAAGATATTGAAAAGATCCAAATGGAATTTCTAGACATGAAAAACACAATATAGCGAAAATGATAATAATAGCAATTACCGTTTATTAAGTGCTTTTATGTAGATTATCTTTTTTTTTCTTCGCAACAGCCCTATGTGTTAGGTAGATGCCGTCATCTCCTTTGCACAGAAAGTGAAACAGATTTAGATGTTAAATAACTTGTAGGTCACACACTGGTTAATGAAAAAGCCAATGCCAGAAGAAGCCATGAAGCCTGACTCCGGGCTGTATTATTGCTTCAGTGTGTTTCATATCAACACTGCATGTGAGGCTGGAAATACAAATGAGCAAGTGACAATACTTGCCCTCAAGTCACTCTTATTCTAGGAGAAGAAACAGAGTAGCAAAGGAACCAACCTGAAATGCCCATCAATGGTAGACTGGATAAAGAAAATGTAGAACATATATACCCTGGAATACCATGCAGCCATAAAAAGGAATGAGATCATGTCCTTTGCAGGGACATGGATGAAGCTGTAAGCCATCATCCTCAGCAAACTAACACAGGAGAAGAAAACCAAATACAGCATGTTCTCACTCATAAGTGGGTGCTGAACAATGAGAACACACACCAGAGCCTGTTGGGGGGTAAGAGGTGAGGGAAAAGAACTTAGAGGACAGGTCAATAGGTCCAGCAAACCACCATGGCACATGTATACCTATGTAGCAAGGGTGCACATTCTGCACCTGTATCCCATTTTCAATTCTTAATTCAACACCCCCCCCAAAAAAAAACAAAACAAACAACCCAGAGTACTATAGAAATAGTCTCCATACAGCACAGGTGATTTTTTTGAGCGACACATAAGATTCCATAATAGCACAAGGGAGAAAATAGTCAATTCTAGAGAAGTAGGTGAAGACTATAAAGGAGCAAAGAGTTGAGATGGATCTTGGAGTGGTAGAAAGCTGTTAAGCAAATAAGGAATATATTCTAAAATGAGGGAGCATGATTTCTGAAAGTATGATAACAATGAAACAACGTGGTTTCTTTGGACAGTGGTAAGAAGTCATTGTAGCCAATACCTAACACATAATAAGGAAACCCTATCACAGTCAATAGGAGATAATGTAGAATGCTTTAATGTGTCAAACACTGAGCAAAATGTTTAGATGTATTCATTCAATTTAATCCACACAACAAATATATGAGTTGATATGATTGTCATCCTGTTTTATATGTTAAGAAACTGAGAGTTGGCGGGGCATGATGACTTATGCCTGTAATCCCAGCACTTTGAGAGGCCAACGCAGGCGGATCCTTAAGGTCAGGAGTTTGAGATCAGCCTGGCCAACATGATGAAACCCCATCTCTACTAAAAATACAAAAATTACCTGGGTATGGTGGCCCATGCCTGTAGTCCCAGCTACTTAGGAGGCTAAGGCAGGAGAATCGCTTGAGCCAAGATTGTGCCATTGTACTCCAGCCTAGGCAACAGAGCGAGACTCTGTCTCAAAAATAAAAAAAGAAAGGAAGAAAGAAAAAGAAACAGAGTCAGAGAATTAAGTAACTCACACAAAGCCACGGCATTTATAAGTAGCACACCTCATATTGCAACCTACATGTTTACAAAGTTTACATTCTCACATTCTTTTTTTTTTTTTTTTGAGATGGGGTCTTATTCTGTTGCCCGCTCACTGCAGCTGCCACCTCCTGGGCCCAAGCAATCCTCCCACCTCAGCCTCCCTAGTAGCTGGGAATACAGGAAGATACCACCACACCCAGATAATTTTTGTATTTTTTGTAGAGATGGGGTTTCATCATGTTGCCTAGGCTGATCTCAAACTCCTGGGCTCAAGCAGCCCACCCGCCTCAGCTCCCAAAGTGCTGATTTCAGGTATAAGCCAGCGCTCCCAAGCCCACAAAGTCCACATTCTTAACAACTCTGCTGTGCATGCTACCCCAGGTTATAAAGGACTTTATGTGCACTAATAAGTGTAAGAATGTTACTATGGATTTTGGGGACCCAGGAGAAAAGGTAGGTTGGGGTGAGGGGTAAAGGACTACAAATTGGGTTCATTGCATACTGCTTGGGTGATGGGTGCAACACAGTCTCACACATCACCACTAACGGACCTACTCATGTAACCAGATACCACTGGTTCCCCAAAAATCTATGGAAAAAAGTTTCTCCTGAAGTTAGTAGAATCTTCTCCATTTGTATGGTATTTTCACATGTAACACAGACAAAAGCATGGAAAATAGAATGCAAGACAGGTAAAAGTGAAAGCAAAGCGTCATTAGGAGACTATTACAATAAAACGAATGACCATGAAAATGAAGAGCTATTTAAGGACTTGGTTTGGCAGGATTTGCTGATTGATTGGGTGAGGGATGTGGCAGAGAAAGAGTCAAGAATGAATTCCAGAATCTAAAGTATGGCCTCCCTTGCCTTTTCATCTCTCCCTTGCTTTTTTCCTTTTCTTTTTTTTTCTTTTTGAGATGGAGTCTCGCTCTGTCGCCAGGCTGAAGTGCAGTGGCGTGATCTTGGCTCACTGCATCCTCCGCATCCTGGGTTCAAGCGATTCTCCTGCCTCAGTTTCCTGAGTAGCTGGGACTACAGGCACACACCACCACGCTCAGCTAATTTTTGTATTTTTAATAGAGACAGGGTTTCACCATGTTGGCCAGGATGGCTTCGATCTCTTGACCTCGTGATCCACCCAGCTTGGCTTCCCAAAGTACTGGGATTACAGGTGTGAGCCACTGCACCTGGCCCATTTCCTTTTTTTAAATTTTATCTTTTATGTTTCACTCTGAATTCACAGTGGTTTTGTGTTCCTAGTCTAGATATATTTATTCATTCAACAAACGTTTATCAGTTGCTGGTGATAAAGCAGT